TTATATAAATATATATATATATTATTAGCATGGTCAAAAAAAGGACTGCAATACTAGATTATTAAACAAATATGAATGTCTGAATTCTTATATTTCAGATCGACGACTTATACGAGGAGATCCTATTTGAAATTTACAATAATATTGGTTGTGAGAGTAGTGATGCCTGTAGGGAAAGTCTGGTTGAATTCGCAAAGGAGGTATTCAAAATACCCAATGCCACCCATTTGGAAATTTCTGAGATTGCGATGAAGAAGGAACCACCTAAATTAAGGCTCAATGTTGAAGTTATTAAAGCAGAAAACTTACTACCAATGGATTCGAATGGATCATCCGATCCTTTCGTAACATTGTACTTGGAATCAAACATTTCGCACCGCTATAATTCTTCCGTAAAAACGTCTACTCTAAGTCCCATATGGGAGGAGCATTTTTCATTGTAAGTATTATCGGCAAATAGGTCACATCAACTTCTGGAATTAGTTTCTTCTATAAACATGAAATAAAATATACTGTCTCGTTGATTATATTATTTACTTAATTTATTAGATGTTTATTGAATTTTATTTGAATTTTCTAGACCAATTACTGAAGGTCCTCGTGATGAAGTTCTCATTATCGAAGTTTGGTAAGTTTATAAATTATTATTTACTTAACCTAATTGACCAATTTGAATATTTTGTTTTGTTTCAATATTATTTAAGCAAATTCTTACGAGTTTATTCGATTTTTATTCATTATAGACCAAATTTTGGCAAATTAATATATCAAGATGAAAAAATGAAGAATATTCATTTTTATTTTTCTATATTTCTTCAATAGTTTCGGGTCATATGTTTAGGCGTCTTTCTGTCTGTTGCTAGGCAATTTAATTTCTGATGCTTGTGATCTAAAATGGCCAAATGCCAGCAATCGCTGTATTTGTTCAATTCTTGAAGAGCTTGAAACCAGATAGTTATGCTAATGTATTTCGTCAAGTATTTCTGAAACTTAATAGATTTTAAATTGTTTTTCGTAAGCATTTAAAACTAAAATGAATCAATCATAAGTTTAATTACATTTTTTAAGTTCTCTTAGTTGTTAAAAAGTATTTAATAAATTTGCGAAAATGAATATGAGCGAAAATTCCCTAAAGTATTTACATTCAACTTTTGGAGGACGCCATACGACTGTTTTTAATTGTAAATAGTTTTATAATTATTTTATTTTATTCTGAAATTCAATAAGTATATAGGCAAATTGTATATTTTTTATATGTCTAAATATTAATTAATTTTGTATATTTTAATTTTTTTCTGGTATAAATATTGGACCAATCTGAATTTTTATTTTTTCTAAGCCAAAGGAATTTTGGCCTATGTTTTCTTTTAGTTATAGACTGCAATATTAATATACAAGCGAATTTTTTTAATGTATTACAACAGTGCTTTAGTTTAGCTAGTGTCCGCTTAGGCAAGAGCAGTATTAACCAGCTAAATAGGTTCGAAAATAATTTAAATTTATGCAAATTCAACTTCAGCTATTAAAATTTAAGTTTGATGTCAGATTTGATCTTTAAATATAAAACGCATATATAAATTAATAAAAATGTTTTTATTTTTAATAGGGACTTTGATGCAGCGGAAACTGTCAAAGACAAGGTTAATAAGCTGTTGGATGTTAAGGGTGTACGCGGGCTAAGCAAGCTTATGAAGGAAATCGCGGTTACGGCCTCATCTGGAAAGCATGATAACGAATTAATTGGACGTGCAATGATTTCGCTTAAGGTTGGCATATAATAGATATAAACATTTATAATAGATATATGTATATAATATCAAATAGCTTATCTGTTTACTGAAACTTCAAGTAAATATTGAAAATAGGTAAGAACTACATATTTTCGAAATTTAATCAAATCAATCTTTCCACAGTAAATGCTAACGTTTTTTGATAATAATAATTTAATAATATTAAAAAAATTCTTTGAACTTTGCAAAGTCTATTCCAGTTACTGGACTAACCGTTTGGTATAATCTGGAAAAAGGCAGTAAAACGAAAAGTCGCGGTTCTATTCTAGTGAACATTGCTCTCAGTGCCGAAAAGAATAAGAATGTCGCAAGTCAAGAACATAAGCACCTCTTGAAATTGTTACTGGTGCACGAGCTGGATTCGTCTCAGGTGGCCAAATATTGGTGGAGCGGAAAATTCGGAGCGATGGCTGAAGCAATCAGAACTCAACACGCCGTTCAGAGTGGTCTCTCTCCCGTTGACTGTGCGCTCTGCCAGTGGCATGCGTATAGCACTGTCCACGAGACTCATAAACTGAATTTCGTACTCTTCAATTCAATACTCGATGTTCTGGCTCCAGTAATAAACTATTTGCAAAACGATTCGGAGGATGTCAAAACATTCTGGGAGGGGGCCAAGCGGTTGCTACCATCTTGCTTTTCAATATTAAGACATTTACGCTCCAAACAAATCAGTGATAATAAAATTCTGAAGACGCTCAGTGAGGTACTAGACATTCTCTCGAAGCTGAAAACATTTGAGGTGCCAGCGACAATAGATCTATTTCCCAAAACTGTCTATGGCTGGCTAGAATACGAAGACTCTGAGAAACCGAACACGATCGATAACGTTATTATTGCCGCTATCAATAGCGGTGCCAAAGAGTGGATGGAACAAATCAAAGAAGTCGGCAGTCAAACCAAGGATCACGATTCGGATGAAGAGAAATTGCAGAATGTAATCAAAATCATACAAATGGTTCGCTCAGATCTACAGCGTGCGATGGAATATTTCGATAAACTGTTCTACCAGTAAGTGAAGATTTATTACTATTTAATAATATTATTCATTATTATGGTGCACATAATTGGTACATTTTTGGTTTCAATCAATTTTTAAATCGAATGGGCTATAAACATATTCGAAGACATTCATTAACTAACTTACAATGTTATGACACTGAATATTCACTAATAAAACCGATTTCTTGTGAAAAGGAGGAACTGTGGGAGCGAGAGTTCTCCAAAGTTCATTAAATAAAGCAGTACATATGTAGCATTTGTTGAAGTCCCCTGGTTGCTTTTTAGTCTAGAGCCAGTTGGAGTGGACCGCAAACTTTTCATAGAACAATCGGGAAAATAAACTGAGTCGATATGTCCATGTCTTACTATCCTGAAATTTTGTACTTTGTGTACTCTTTGTATATACCCATCCCATTTCATCTTTATAGATATAACAAGTAAGAAAGCTCTAGTCGAGGCTGCTCGACTACGAGATCCCCTGAACCCTTGGAGTGCTAGCTATTTYAATAAWTTTTCGYGTCTTTCAGCTTACACAAGAAACACACACACATACACAAACACATACACACACAAGCACCCACGCATGGGCTGCAGTGTGCGCTTACTATGAGAACTTAATTGTTTAATAACTTTTTTTGTGGACGTACGATCTTCATGAAACTTTCAGATTATGATTATAACATGAATATGCATATAATTGCCAAAGCACAAGTCTCTAGTATTTGAAATACGCTTTTTACAAAAGTGAGGGTGAGGGGGTGAATTTANACGGACAGACGGACAGACGGACAGACGGACAGACGGACAGACAGACAGACGGACAGGGCCAAATCAACTCAGCTCGTCACCCTGATCAAGAATATATATACTTTGTGGGGTCTGCCACGCCTCCTTCTGCCTGTTACATACATTTCAACAAAACCATTATACCCTGATTTCCCATTTTCAATGGGTTCAGGGTATAAAAATAGATATAGCACAAAATATGAAAGCAGTTAATTTACTGTGGGGGCCCTCGAGCTGAATATAAATTTCCCTAAATTTGAAAAATGTTATTTAAACTAAATTTCTTAATTGGAGAGAATTTCATTAGTTGTGTGCATGCTGTATACTGCAGTATCTGTATTTGGTATTTTTTACATAAAAGTAATAAGCCTGTATTAAAATATGAATTAAAATACTGTATTAAAATACTTGTGTCTTTCAGCAAAATTCGGGTCAGCTATTCCACTACACTATTTATGTTCTACGATTCAAAGCTGACAGAAATATGCAAAGCTATTGTGGAGCAAGTATGTTCCAACATTAAGAAGTTGGATGTTCCTGACGATAACTTTGAATATTTGCCAAATATTGACAATGTTAATATGGGAACAACATTATTTGAAGTTTATTTGGTACTCAAACGATATAATACTCTAGGTAATTATTTCTTAAAAATATCGTATTTAATGTACTTGTATTAATATTGCTTTTCATTTTACAGGACAATCACTCTGTCCCAACTGTCAGCTGGAGATGAATGAATTTTACTTGTGGTTTGACAGAGGCGTAACTCATTGGCTTGAAATTTCAATTATTAAAGCTCTGAATCGCATCCAGAAAGCCATTGACTTGGACCAACTCCACGCTGTAGATGAAACGGTTAAGTATAGTTCATCAGCAGTCGACACCTTAGCGATTTTTTACCAGATTAAGATATTTTGGCAACAACTGGATTGGCCAGATATAGAAGGATCCTACTTGTTTGTGGCCAAAATAGTTAATGTAAGTAAATTGCCAAAAAGTAATTTATAGAAAATATGCTTTGAAATATCGCTTTTTCCCAGGATATATGTCGATGCTGCGTTTTCTATGCACAGCGTATGTCCCACCGCGTGGAAGCTATAACCAAAAGGGAACAGGATGGAGATATGTTTAGTAAGTTAATGGGCTGGTAGGCTTTCAATATACGCGTTTAACGTTTTTGGTATTTTCATGTAAGATTTATCGGAGGAATGGTGCTTGGCTATAAATAATATGGACTACATCCGTCAAAGTTTACCTTCATTTATAAAGGTATGTAAAGGTAGTTAAATATTATGTATTGCTTGACTGCTTAAAAAAGCACTTCGATAAGGACTTTAAGTAATTGACCCAGTTGAATATCATAAAAAAAAACATAGAAAAGTTTTATCATGATACAGCTAGTTTTATATATTAGTATTATAT